ATAATGTCATAAAAAGACTTAAGCTTGGTTGAAAATGTCGGTTTTACCTTTCAACTGGTTTTTGGTTATGCCGCAAACTTATCATTTTTTGTTGGTTTTGCTCTTTTTACCTATAATAACAAGTTTCCAGGTTGCCTTGAAATATTATTTGTGAAAAAACCCTTATGTTTACAAAGATTTTGCAAAAAAGCCCTTAAGATGATAAACATGTAAAATATAAATATATATTCAAAATTTGATAAAACTAAATAGTTTTTATAAATTTTAAATATCAGAAGTTTATATTAAACCAATATTTTTTTTTTTACCATACTTATGTTATGAAACCAAAATCGAAACATATTTTTACCTTTAAGCATCGTAAATTTTATATACAAAACTTCAAAAATGGTCCCTTTGGTTTCACAAAATCTGAAGTTTGGTCCTTAATTTACAAAAACCTCATGGATCGTCCTTGTGGTTTCAAAACTTTTAACATTTGGTCCTTCCGGCTCACTCCGTTACCATTTAGCCGTTAAGTAAGAGACATTTTTGTCATTTCACTACCTAGGGACCATTTATGAGGTTTTCTATTACTTTTTTAAAATAAATAAATAAATAAATAAAATTTAATATGCAAAGGTCTCTCTCACACGCACACATTGTGTTTTCATCCCAAGAAAACTCAAAAGCTTCAAATGTCTGTCACCCCTAGACTTTGTTTTCTTCTGGTGGTTTGAACTTTGAAGTCGTCGTTAAAATCAGAACAGGTACAAATTCATGGAAGATTTGTCTTGGAGCATTTCTACGAGCAGTTGGTGTGTGCATTAAGGACTATACAACTAGACTTTGTTTTCACTTCTAGTTGAAATAAAAAGTGATGTTGAATCCAATATGACAACTGAGAATTGGGTTTAAGATGGAATGATGGATCGAATATCAAACAAAAATAAGGAAAAAAGAAAGAAAAAAATGAGTAGTACTTTCTGTTGTGTAAGTTGTACTCTCCATTATCTTGGAACGCCTGTGATTACAGCGCTGGGAGATTAAGAACGCATGAGGCCATTAGAAAGCTCAAATAATCGAATGTGAATTTCTCCAGGTGACAATGGTTGTGAAAGTTGGAAGATTCCTAAAAAAGATAGAGAGGGTACTTCGAGTCTAATGTTTTCAGCACAATAGTGTTAGCGTGTGATTATAGAGGTGCAATTATAAACGTAGGTGTGGGAGACAAGGGAAACGTTAACCATCCAAGCTATGTGTTGTTGCATTTTCTTAGATTGTTGCAGGTTTTTTGTTGGGGTTTTAGTAGAGGGTCCAGACTAAGAAAGATGAGAGAGAGAGAGAGAGAGAAGAAAGAGAGACCCTTGCATATTAAATTTTATTTATTTATTTACTTTTAAAAAAAAAAATTGAAAACCTCATAAATGGTCCCTAGTGAAATGACAAAAATGTCTTTGACTTGACGGTTAAATGGTAACGGAGTTAGCCGGAAGAACCAAATGTTAAAAGTTTTGAAACCACATGGACGATCCTTGAGATTTTTGTAAATTAAGGACCAAACTTCAGATTTTTTAAAACCACAGGGACCATTTTTGAAGTTTTGTCAATTTTATATTGGCACGATTAGAGATCCACAATTGCTTTAAATATCAGAAGTCAATGGTAGGTAAATTGTATATTATGAAACCAAAATCGAAACAATAGTTTTTGTAAATTTTAAATATCAGAAGTCAATGGTACGTAAAATACATTGGACTCCATGAATTAACATTGTAAATACAATTAAAGATCCACAATTGCTTTAACTATGTACATAAAATCTCGAGGGAACACACAACAGGATTGAATAATCCCTACGGACAAAATGGTCCAAACCAAAACCAAAAATATAAAACCGTTTGAGTCAGAAGCCAAAAAAAAAATTACTGAAGACTTTCTTTCATAAACCATCGGCTGGGAATAAGTATATTTCTTTTGCACAAAAAAGCCACTAAAAAGCACCTACAAATTTAACCCAATTATAACAATCTGCTTTGAATGTATATTGCTCTAGTTGGGAATAAGTATATTATTTTTGCACTAAAACAGCCACACAAACAGTAGTTACAGAAATGGTCCCTGTGTGAAGAAGAAATTACATAAATGGTCCATATTTTAAAAGTACATTGCTATAAACATGAATATTATTATATTTTTCACAAAAACAAAAAATTCAAATACACACGTATACAATGACAGAAATGGTACTGATTCAAACAGAAATTATATAAATGATCCTTTTTTAATGTAAATTGGTATAATTTGGTAATTATTTTTTCCCACATAAACACAAAAAAAAAACTTACACACATACACAATAACACACTGGTACACACACAAACAGTCATATACACACACTTATGTTGATATTTTAAAGAAATGGTCCCTGTTAAAGTAAATTTATATAAATGGTTCTTGTTTACAATAATTAACTGAAATGGTCCCTATATTAAAAAAAATGCATAAAAGGTCTGTGTTTAGAATGAAAAACATTATTGGTCCCTATTTAACTACTATGTGTTTAATTCATTCTTCTGAGATGATATGTATAAATATAATTATATATATTAGTTAATGGTTAATGTTGTTCAATAGCAATCTACTATCACAAATGTTCTGAACATCCCTAAACTTTACTTTGTAAACATAATTACTTAAAAAAACCTAGTTTTCTTTGTGTGTTACTTATTAATTTGTTTGTTAGCACATCAGCATTAGTGATTTTTGGAATAACATCATAGCATAATTTCATAAATAAATCAGAGACAGAAAAGTTTGGAATAACATCATAACAAAATTCCAGAAGTCATAGATAAAGATAGAGAACACGAAAGTTTGATAAAGATAGAACATGAAAGCTTGATATATACCAACCTGAATTCGAGATTAGATCTGAACCTCTTGAAATTATCTGAGTAGACAGTGTATATCCACAGAGAACAAAAACAAATGTACGCATCTTTTCTATTTGAAAATTAAGGCTTGTTTTGAGGAAAAATAAAAGAAACTGTTTTGAAACAAACATCGACATCATTGCAACACTAACAGAAATACGTGATAATGTTAAGATAATTCCCAATCATTTGAGAAGAAAGGGGCTCTCCAGAAGAACAAAGTTCTATTTCATAATAATTCTTAGCTACTTTTCTCTACCTTCTAACTAAATATATATACTACTAGGACTAAAATGAGACAAAGGAATTTCAGCACCACAAAAATTGTCCCCACTAACCTGATACTACCACTAACATAAAATTTTGTACTAATATCAAAAGTACTAAATTGCCCCTTGGGCAATTTTCCAGCAGAACAATGACAAATTACCCATATACCATTTTTGCCCTCTTGCTATTAACCACTAAGTTCTGGGGCTTATCAAGACCTCGCATACCATAGATTGTTCAGGTCACACAAAACTTCAAAATTCCTGATGTTGTGCTAGATTTAGCTCAGAGTGTAACTGAAATTCTAGAACACTACTGAGGAGAGGAAAGGAGAAAATGAGAGATAAGAGGTGTTTTTGAGTTTTTTAAGGAGAAATAAATGAAGGAAAGGAAAAGAAGAGTGTTTTCAGGTTTCATTTAAGAAAGAAAAGGGAAGAAAATGAGGGGATTGGAAGAGGAAAAAATACTTACGGTATTTTCTAACATTTCTTTCCTTCTACTAATCTTTCATTTCCTTCCCCTCCTTTTTTATCCAAAAAAAAAAAAAAAAAAAAAAAAAAAAAAAAACTCGAGAAGAGGACAATAAAACTTAAAAACACTTCTCTGTCTTTCCTTTCCCTCACAAAACAGATTTTTTCTTCATTTACTCTCCTTAAAAACCGCATACTATTTTGTTGTGATATAAACTAATCCAAACATATTAAATGACTGTCATTTTATTTAGATAAATACATTCCTATTCTATATGTTGAAACAAACGGTGGATTTGAATTATTTAAGTATCAAAATCGGAGACATGATTCAAATGCACAAAAATATAGGGACTACATTGTTTTGAATGAGATTTATGGTATAAGATTACAGGGCTAGTCGATTAAAATAAATGAGATTTAGATACATGAATGTTTATAGAGTCGATTAAAATAAATGAGATTTAGAGACATGAATGAAATAAATGAATACGTATAAATAATTTATGCCTAGAATTACGTGAATAAGGATTAACACAATAAAATATTTATTATAATATTTGTTCCCATAGGGGAATCCGTGAGCAGGTCTCAATCCCTAACTCGATTACTGTTTTTTCCCATTCATGATTGAAGTCGCAAAGGGATAAAATTTTACACATTAGTTATTGTTTTTATAAGACAAAAAATCTGAAAAAATATGATCCTATAAGAAAGATGTTTACATTAATTAACTACAAATTCTTAAGGGGGATAACAAACCCCTCCCTTGCTCCGTCACTATTATGCCATCCGGTGTGAAAATTTCACAGATTAATTAAGTTAAAGTGATTTCTTTTATAAATTTGTGATATTTAATTAGATTTTTCAAACACTATAAAAATCAAAGGCATGATTCAATTGCACAAAACTATAGGGATTACATATTTTGAATGAGATTTATATTATACGATCATGTAATTTAAATTGTAATGCTGATTTTTGGGCTACTTGATTAAAATAAATTAAAATAAATGAGATTTAGAGTTTTTAATTGTAATTGTTGTAAACGACCGACACATGGCACATAATAAATATGGATTCATATTAAACCGACACGTAACAATCTAAAACTATTCTTTTATTATGTAGGGTAGAAGGATAAATAATTGAAATCAGTATGGGCCGGTGCACAATAGACGATTCTTACGTTTATTTTTATATTTTTCTATATAATTAATACAATTCTAAAAATTATACCATCAAAATGATAGTCTAAAAATCGGAATCCTATCAATGTTAGGGTTTAAATTTTGTTATTTGTTTTTGGAATTCAGGATATTCTCAACTTCACAATCACCCAAGGATGGTTGGTATAGAGATGGATCTACACATTGATCTTACAAGTCAACAAGACAAGATAATATCACTTGAAAAAACTACAGTTATCACTAGGAAATTAGGAATAGGGAAAACTACTATTTTGAAATTAAAATTATGTCGTAGACAAGTTTCTGAAGCAGGGAGTAGCAGAGTCCAGGATGCCATTGATGATCCTGAAGAAAACAAAGCGAGTTTTCTGCGCCAGCCTTTTGTGACAGTAAGCCCAAATTTGTGTGCTGAGGTGAAGCAATACGTTTCCCGCCATACAAGGTGCGCAATTGATTCACTTCATTTTATTTTTCCATTTTAAATGTTTTCACTCTAATGGCTTTTATCTGCAGCATTTCAAGTGATGATCCCGAGACATTTGTTGACATTCCAAGGGAAAGCTTCCCTCTTATTATCACATTTGAGAAGTTATTGCTAATGTTGGATCACACACCGGGGGAGTCGTTCTTTGACCAATTTAATATGGGTGACGAGAAAAGTTCTTTCATTAGATCAAAGAATGTCACATATGACATATTTCTGTCACACTACTGGCCCCATCTTGGAGCAAAGAAGCTCGATGCCTCAAGAGTGTTCACAGAGATAATGTCTCATATAAAAGGTGGATTGCAAGCAGCAGAAAGTGTTGATAGAAGACTCAACAATGAGGCGTATTTTGAAGGCCGGTCATCAACATTATCAAAACAGACAAGAGAATTGATTTACGCAGTCTTTCAATCATATGAGGAGTTGAAAACGAAACTTTGTGAATTTGATTGGGGATACTTAGTAAACGACCTCCAAAATCGGTTTCAAGAGATGGAATATGGAGGTGACTACATGGACTTTGTATACATCGATGAGGCACAAGACCTGAGTATGCGAAGTATTATTCTATTAAAAAAGATATCTCGGGATTTTGAACAAGGGTTTATGTTTGTGGGTGATAGTGCACATACTGTAACCACAAGGATCGAATTTAAGCTTGAAGATATACGTTCCTTGCAGGGCCGGTCCAAGTCGATTTGAGGCCCGGGGCAAAAGTAGAAAATGTGGCCCTTCAAAATTTACCAATCGCCAAATGATAATACAACGATGTTTATGGTTACGAGTACATTGTCAAAAAAAAAAGAACAATCGAATAAACGAACCATTATGAAAAACCGTCGATTTGGTGTTTGAAAAAAAAACAACAATGTGTGTTTGGAAATATGATGCAATCATCATTATATGTTAAAATATGATGCAAGAGACCAAACTTTTAAAGGAAATGAGGGTCTGAGTGTTTTGTCAAAAACAAAGAGTTATACGACAATTTCTATAATGATTTTTGAATAATAATAAAGAATATAGGGATTATTTTTGTAATTTGAATTCCAATTCATAAAAATAAGAAAACTAATACATAAAATAATTCAAATATAAGAATAATACATAAAACAAAATATTACTCACTATAGCGTTTGGTTATGATAAAAAAAGAAATTAACAAAAGAAAATAGGGTTGCCAGTATTCTCCATAATGTAACAAAAGAAAATAGATGCATAATATTTTTTATTAATTTAAAAAGTGCATATAACAGGTTTCGAACCTAGGACTCTTAAAAAGGTAGCGCGCAATAACTCCTACCCAACTCAACTACCAAAATCTTAATAAAATTCCTAACAAAACCTACATATATATAATATCAAACAGAAATAATTTTGGGGCCCCAAGCCATAGCGAGGCCCGGGGCGGTCGCCAAACTTGCCCACTCTATTGGGCCGGCCCTGGTTCCTTGTTTAGAACAGAGAATTTAGGCCCCGCAACAACTAGACAACACTGGAGACCTGATGCTGATGGACCCTTATTGAATCAATCGTATACCCCAGTCATTCTAACACTCACGCTAACATAAATACTTGATAATGTTAAGATAATTCCCAATAATTCGGGAGGAAAGGGGCTCTCCAGAAGAACAAAGTTCTATTTCATAATAATTCTTAGCTACTTTTCTCTACCTTTTAACTAGATATATATACTACTAGGACTAATATGAGACAAAGGAATTCCAGCACCACAAAAAACTGTCCCCACTAACCTGATACTACCACTAACATAAAATCGTGTACTAATATCAAAAAGCAGAACAAGGACGAATTACCCATATACCATTTTTTCCCTCTTGCTATTAACCACTAAGTTATGGGGCTTATCAATACCGGCGGCCCAAACTTTCACCTTGTCCTCAAGGTGAAGGCAAAAATTGGTCTCTATTGCATTCCTTGTAACACCCTGTTTATTCATTATTAGATAAATAAATAAATTAATGAACGAATAGTAGCCCTAAAATAAATAATTATGTATAACGGATGGTCTCGAAGAGCTAAATGTCACATTTTTAGAAGTCGGGGGTTAAAAGTGTAAGTTCTGGACTCGGCTTATGAATGTTTATGAAGACAGGGGCTGAATATGTCATAATTAAGATATTGGGGGGTGTTTGGTAATTTATGGGTCGAATTTGAAAGGAATTTATGGGATCAGGGGCTAATGGGTAAATGTTAGATTTAAAGTGAAGAAGATATTGTGGGGAGGGACTAATAATGAATAAATGTGTGAAAGTTTCAAGGACACAGGATATACCCGGCGACCCTTCCCTCCCTCTCATTTTAATGGAACAGGAACCTTAACCCTAATGGATGCTCAGCCGCCACCACAAGAAACTACCCCAGCCGCCATCGTCGGTGCCGAGTCCGACCGCCACTCCGCCGCTTGCATCCTCGCTGCAGAACGCCACCCAACAGCGCCTGCCGCCAATGACGTTGTGTGCCACCGGAGGTGTCACTGAAGATCGGAGTCGAAACCATGGACGCGGACGCGTGGTTTGTGAATGTCGGGAGAGTCGTGGTCGTTGTTTCGCTTCAGAGAGGACGGAAACCACCGCCGGACGTCCGACTGCCATCCTCTCTTCTTTATTTCATGCTGCCGATGATTCGTTCAATCCTTGACCACCATCGTCAACCGCCGTCGCGCATAGCTGGAGAAGAACCGCCGTGACCGGTCGAGTTGCAGTTGGTGGGTTCGTCAATGCTGTCGCCGTGAATACTCCCCTGCCGCCGTCAAGACCGCCGCTGCCGCCTCTCCAGGGTTCTGCCGTCACCAACCGCCACCAGTAGGGTGGCTGGATCCGTTTGCAAGCAAGAAAGCGTATGGGTGTTTGTTTCTTCTGTAGTACATACTCGAATGGGAAGGTGATGATGAAGTCCAAAAGATATCATCAGATTTTGAAGTAATTAAACAACAATTTTTGGAGAGTTGCGCTCTTGATTACCATCATCAAAAAGATCCCAAGTCCATTATGAAATATGTCAAAGCCTTTTCTACTGTGGAGTCAAAGCGGGAATTTCTGATGTCCAAATGTTGCATTGAAGAACTAATGTCTTTGAAGGAAGATTATGATAATTATTTTGTAGCTGCAAAGTTTGTAAAGCAATTAGGAGACGTGGAAAAGGAGGCATTTCTATTAGAAAAATCCGGAAATTATAAGGAGACAACGTTGTTTGATTTGAGCTATATTTCCTTCCGTTCATTATGAAGAAACGACAACAGGGGCTGGTCGTTGAAGCCGTTTTCGAAAAAGGAAGGACTTTGTGAGAATGCAAAGTCATTTGCAAAAAGGGCTTCAGACGATGGTTTTTATAGTGGGTGTGTAAGGAAGTAAAACAACTCTCGGATCCAGATATTAGCTTGTCGAGCCTACATGAGATTATAGAAGATGCCGTAGAAAACAATGTTCCAAGGACCCAACTCTTATCCCTTAGGCGTATATTAGAAGTCCATTTCTCTTTAAAAGCCTCAAGTTATGAATGGGAGGACAAATTACCAGTGGATATGAGTAAACATTGCAAAGAGAAGATGGTAAACAACCGTGTATCACTTTGAACTTTGGTTTTTTGGTGGGATGTCTGGAAGGAGAGAGTTGTGCATATATGTGAAACTCTAAAAGAGAAAGAAGCAGGTAGTCCCGAAGACTTCCTTCTAGATTTTCATGGGGTCGGGAAAGAGCAGCAGCTGGTAGATGATCAAGAGGAGACAGTGTATTTTATAGCATATGAGCATGCACATTGGATAGGAGGTATAATACGAGTCTTAAGAAAGTTGGAAGGCGTACGACAATGAAAAGAAAATCGTTGGTGTCGGCCATCAATTCATATTGGTAGAGCCAGTTACGCTTGGTTGGTAATCAAGTCCTGAAAACACTTGAAAATGTGTATTTGTTGAAGGAGATTGAGTGTTCATTGTTTCACAATTGTACTTATTACATTCTCAATTATGTAGCCTCCAAATTTCTTTGGGAGAATGCGAATCACAACAAGGAGAAGAAGGCATCCACACAATCTGCTAAATTTTCTACATATGCGTATCATCCGTGTCCGTTTCCAGAAAAATGGAAAATCAATGCAATCGTATATGAGGACTTTAGAAAACCTAGAGAAGCAGTTTATGAGAGAATTACAAGAAGTATGAGGAATACTCCCCCATGGAAATCATTTGTAGAGCAATTTAGGAAGGGTGAATCAAACAATCAGGGAATATCTTTAGCATTGCAGAAGGCTCTAAGTGAGAGTTATAATTACAACTTTGGTAATTATAGCTTTACAGGCGTGGACCAGTTTTTGTATCTCTTGGATCATTTACAGTTAATGACATCTTTCACACAGGGAACCTTCTACACGACTAAGTCCTCATTACTTAGATGGTTTGCACATAATCAGTGTTCTTATTTGTAGGCTCTAGCATCTTCTTTAGTTTTTTAGAAAAATCCCCGCCTTGTAGACAGAGTAAAGCTAGCATGAGCACTAGCCTCAGCACAAAGTATGAATGGCAATTCTCATCAAGACGTGAACCTATAATCCAAGCTTTAGTATGTGCTCTGTTGGAACATATTGATTCCATTTGAAAAGCCAAACACATATTGATATTAATATGTTCCAATAGAGCACATACTAAAGCTTGGATTATAAGTTCGCGTGTTGATGAAAATTGTCATTCATACTTTGTGCTGAGGCTAGTGCTCATGCTAGCTTTACTCTGTCTACAAGGCGGAGATTTTTCTAAAAAACTAAAGAAGATGCTAGAGCCTACAAATAAGAACACTGATTATGGGTAAACCATCTAACTAATGAGGACTTAGTCGTGTAGAAGGTTCCCTGTGTGAAAGATGTCATTAAATGTAAATGATCCAAGAGATACAAAAACCGGTCCACGCCTGTAAAGCTATAATTACCGAAGTTGTGATTATAACTCTCACTTAGAGCCTTCTGCAATGCTAAATATATTCCACGATTGTTTGATTCACCCTTCCTAAATTCCTCTACAAACAACTTCCATGAGAGAATATTCCCCATACTTATTGTAATTCTCTCATAAACTACTTCTCCAGGTTTTCTAAAGCCTAAAAATACCATCATGATCAACCACATAATCGAGAAGGACGAGTGAAGGACTAGTTTCCCATAAGGATCTAGTGTTCTTAGAGACGATTGCATTGATTTTCCATTTTTCTGGAAACAGACACCGATGATACGCATATGTAGAAAATTTAGCAGATTGTGTGGATGCCTTTTTCTCCTTGTTGTGATTCACATTCTCCCAAAAAAATTGGGAGACTACATAATTGAGAATGTAATAAATACAATGGTGAAACAATGAATACTCCATCTCCTTTAACAAATACACATTTTCAAGTGTTTTCAGAACTTGATTACCAACCAACCGTAACTGACTCTACCAATATGAATTGATGGCCGACACCAACGATTTTCTACTCATTGTCGTACGGCTTCCAACTTTCTTAAGACTCGTATTATTGCCTCCTATCCCATGCGCATGCTCATCTGCTACAAAATACACCATCTCCTCTTGATCATCTACCAATTGCTGCTCTTTCCTGAAGGAAATCTTCGGGAATACCTGCTTCTTTCTTTTTTAGAGTTTCACATATATGCACAACTCTCTCCTTCCAGACATCCCACCAAAAAACCAAAGT